TGAATCTCAAAAATAATAATAATAAAAAATAATCAGAATAAAAAACACTGCATTGCTTCTCTGTAACTACCAGGAAATCTGCCATTTCACTGCTGTGTATTTTGCTTCTCACAGCATTAGACAAGCACATAAACCATGACTATATAGTGAACTTATGTGGTTTTAATTACCAGATTTCCATACAGTAGCTCACTTGGGTTTGCAAAACGACTTCCTGATTGGTACAACAGTCACCAGTAACAAAGACATGTCATAGAATCACGGAACATAGCGCTGGTTCATACATTATAAAAGGAAAATACCTTCTAATCAAATCAGACTAAAAGAGGTAAGAAAGGCTGCCAATACAAAAACCCAAACACAGAAACATTACCACAGTTTTGAGTAATGAATAAAAGGAGGAAGTATTTGTTCAATTCAATTTGTTCAATCAAAAGTTCCATGTTTTTGTACATTAGTGTCCCTTGGAAGTGTTGGGGACTGGGGGAGGAGAAACACATGATAAGAACAGCTCCTTAAAATACTCCTCAAGAAAAAAAATCAACTTCCTGAAGTTAAAATATTATTTCTGGATTGCATTTGATTGGCTGAGAGTCTAAAATGGATATAATCGTAATTAGTATTTGCTATACATACTCTTGAATTTTTATGTGTAAAAACCTCAATTAATTTGCAATTTGCAAACCTCAATTAATGCAAATAATTTTTGGTAAATCGTTAAAGAATCAAGCTTAACAGACAACCAATTGTTGCTATATTATGCCAAAAAGATCCGGTTTGGACAAGTTTGTATGTTGTAACTAATGTAAGCAGAACTCACATAAGCAGCAAATACTCTAACAGAACATACTTTACAGAGACCAAAAAAATTCATTTTGAGAATTGTCACTTAACCTGTTTCATTACAACTGTTTTAAATGTAAGAATGACTTGCTTTGTTGTCCAGATCATCCAGTTATCTCTCTCGCACTGTAGCTTCCTGTCAAGTTCACTCTTATTCCTTTATCAATCAACAAAATCCACCATAATGTTGTTTTTCCTTAGCTCACAATCTAAAAGAAACCCTTTGTTCCTTGTCAGGATATATATATATCTTTTTGCATTTAAAGCCAAACAAAAATAACAGCAAAACCAAAACCACCATGCCTGAAACTGCCTGCGCATGTTCTGCATTTGTTAAATTCAGGATGACCTTTGTCTGGAATTGAAATTCGGAGCAGATACCACATCGCTACTTTTAATTATGTTTATGAGAAGTCTGTGCTGCATCTCTTCCTTTAATGCAATGACCATCTCTCTACTTGCGAGCGAGGCTGATATCAATGATTAGAAAAGCATATTGGAGCTGTTTGTGATTACTATTGCCAAATTACTGGAGCTGACTCATTTATTAATGCTTAATGAAATACAAGAATATGTTGCTGCTATTCCACTTATATGATTTGGAGAAGAAAAATCTTGAAAGCAGGTTCAGATCAAAGAGGAATAGTTTATTTACACAATCAGTTCAGAAAAGATTTGCTTTTTCCAGGTGATATCATTAAGAAATGCACACAACTTGTGAATAACTGTAAGCCTATTGCAGTCAATGGGATTTTTTCCCCGCATCAACTTCAGCAAAGCAAGAAAGTGCCTAAATCAACAAAAAATTCTCTGTGGTCTCTGAATTCTAGAACTATTCAGGTAGACATTTAATAAATTTAGGTATTTTAATCAAATTATCAATTCTTCTCAAGAAACTGTCACACTACAACTGTGCTTTTGAAAGCAAACAAAGGATCGGGAGTATTCACAGCTTCATAGGCAAAGAGGAATGCATATAAAACCAAAATACATTGAAACAGCTGAAGTTGTAACATCTTGTAGTAATTCCTGAATATACAGTGTTTGTCTCCACAAGTATCAAAGCAGATACGTATTTTAAATTCTGTGACTAATAATAAGCTATACTTGCCATAAGCTTTTCACTAATGAATAATTGAAAGTTTGACTCAAACCAAAAATAGGAAAAATATTCAAATATCAATCTGTATACTGCCCACCATCCAATTACTTGCCAGAAGACATTTCAAAATACTTATTTTGCTTATTGTCATGCAGAAGAATAACAGTGGCCATCAGTTTAGATTAGTTCTGATCTGAATGTTGTAACTCTCTCTTTCATTTCCAATACACTAATTATGTCACAGAGAATGACATTCTCATAGTTGCCTATGAGAAGCACCAACAGAATGGCATTGGGAACTTCCAAGTCTCAGGTTGTAACTGCAGTGGGAGGGAGAAAAGGGTTCAGGAAGACTTCGAATATCTGATGACTGTGTGAATGCATTTTATAAATAGATGCAGTAATTGTTTTTTTGCCCCTTCTTGGTTTCCATGGAAACAAGTGTAAATTTAACCCACCCCACCCCCCCAGAAAGTTAGTAACATCCAAGTGCTTTAAGTTGTAATTTAGGGTTTTTAACTTGCAATTAGGAATTACTGGTAGGTAATGTATCTTTGGATCTCTAAGATTTGATTCTTGCCTCAGCCTAGAAGCAAAGTCTCAAAGTAGGCCATAAGAGCTAGATGGAAGACTGCTGTCAGCTTAGCTGGTGAACTCAGTTCACAGTACTCAAATGTTCTCATGACAGAAAAGCATTCCCAGCCACTCAAGCATACATCTCCACCATTAGCTTTGGCACAAAGGGAAACACGGTCATCTTGACAGCAACCTTACTAAGATTTTGTTTGCATAATCGAACTACAGAGTGGGCGCTAATAAAATTAAATTGCTGCTCATTTTGAAAGTAGGGCTTGTCCTACTATTCTGCCTTTAGCATGACATTTATCAAGAGATAAGACAAACATCCTTTGAGAAGCTGTCAGGAAAAGTAGTACTAAAATTAAAATACTACGAAGATAACTGAGAGGAAAGTATCAGACAGCTGTGAAAATGATTTCAGAAGACATATGGAAGCTCTGTTAGATTATGATCTTCTAAAACATTCATCTATTGCTCTTGGGACAAAAAGCTAAGAATATATGAACACTCGAGGCTTCAAACATTCCATTCAATTTAAAAGGTATCCATTCAGAAGCAGACTGAGCTGTCAATTGAATAAATAATTTGAGTCAATGCACAGAAGAATCATTTCCTAGCAGTTTGCGTGGGTTTTGGTTGCTGGTTTCTGTGAAGTTTTAAAGCAATGATTGAGTACAAATGCATTGAAGAAAATCCTTCTCCCATTAAAAGGGAACCTCTTGACCTTATGTAGAAAATTATATTTGCTTCCAGTAATGGCAAAAGTGTATCTTCACAATGATTATATTTTGATAATTAATGTCAGCAGGATTGGACAACAAAAAGTAAGCAGATCTCATTTTATCATGCCAATATATAATGTGATTTTAATACTCTTTATCACTCAAGGTTGCTGTAAGCTAATATGAATACCTCTTCATCAAAGTATTTGGACAACAGCAATCTCACCTGTGTAAATCACGGACATGGACCTTTTTTCTTCCATTTTGCTATAAAGCAAAATTGAACCAAAACAGGTGAGCACCTCAATGGCCACTGAGGTATTCTCTAGAAGTCAGTACTAAACTTACTCTGAAGTCTATGTGAAACTTACATTTAGGTTAAAAAAAAATAGAAAAACAAGATGTTTTGTCAGCTTCAGAAGCAGTGCACTAAAGAACAGCTAGTTACCACACAACTCCACAGAATGAAAAGACACATGCCTTTAACAGTTAAGCACTATCCAAGAAGTATTATCTAGAAGACCTCCAGATGGACAATAAGTCTCAACATGCACACTCTCAATAGATATCAATCTCAAATCAACTCCACAGCTCACAGACTTGGGCTATTCAAGACACATAGAACATTTTAGAAAGTCTCAATATAAACAGCACAATGGTCAAATCATCTGAATTTTCCATTTGTGCATTAAGTCCAGTTATCAGATTTTGACAACCATGATATTTCAAGAGCAGCAAAGAGGAAGTTAATGAAGCATAATGTTTGGATTCTGTAGAAGGTGTGCATTTTGCTTCTGCACGTGCTCTCTGTCCAATTTATGAATACAAGGAACTGGTAAGAAAATACTTTCCCTTCTGCAGTAACTTTCTAATTGCTACCTTGATTTGAAACATCCTTAGTTCTCTGTCATATTGACAAGGTGTAGTGTTAGGCTCTTCTACATACACCAGCACTTGGAGTGGTCTCCAAAATCTTTGAAGAGAGTCCAGTTATTCTAAGACAGAGAGCTCACAAGATACAAGAAAGTGCCAAAAATCACTTGCAACTAACTCCAATGCACTGACACTTCTGAACAGTTTGGCTTATAGTATTTTGAAACTAGTTGATGTGTAACACGAGTCCCAGATACAAAGCATGGCATAATACAATGAATTCGTTTTGACCACTTTTAAACATTTTACTTTAATTTTGAATAAGGACTAAAACTTCTCTAACTGAACTCAAGTTATGGGCTCTCTATTACTAATTATTCACAGAAGCATTAAAATCTTCCTTTTTAAAAAAGCACAGGTTATCATGTTAATTACCAGGTTAATTACCAGGTTAATACTTCTGTCTTTGTGCACCTATAGGAAATACTTAAGTCTGAGTTAACTAACTAGATTTCCCTTTTTAGGAATATAAAGAAAAAGGGATAATTTTCATTGTTGCTCACCTCATCCTGAGACATGCATCTAAAACAGGTCAGAGGAATCTGCTCCAATGTGCTTACTTATCTCCACTCATTACAAAAGAAGTTAAGGCAATCAGTTGTTCTACATATATTCACATCATAGGCATAAAAACTTTAAGAAAATGAAAATCATCCCTAGTAACTAAATGCTTTCTTAGAAACCTACAGCATCATGACTTTAAATGACCTTGATAATTCTGAATAAAAGATATTCCTTGGGAACACAATGAAATATTTTCAACATGATATGGGTTCTTTAGTATTCATATATCATAAATCATAAAATTTTAGTTTTCTTACCGTGACAGGAACCATCCAGTTCTTCATATCCTACACTGCAGATACATCGTCCAAGAGGCACAAGCCAATCCCCATCTGCTCCACAATACAATTTTGGAGTATCACGTTCCTCAGCACTCTTCACACAGGAGCCCCGCACTTCCACCAAAGAGGAAGAATCAACCCTTGGAATAGTATCAGGAAACATGGCCAAGTTACGGACTGTGAAAGGGCACTTCTTGTAATAAACACGGACTGAGACCAAAGCAATACATGCTCCAATGTCCTGAAATGCAAGATAAAATCCTTTCTTGTTTATTGGCCCAACCTCACGAACTTCTGTGTTGAGTTTAAGAATGCGATCACCCAAGTCCATCTGAGTAAAGCTCTCATCAGCTGCAATAGTATCAATTTTAGTATACTGGTTTGGCTTGAATTTTAATCCATGAGACTCATCTGATTCCATGTAGTAGAGATTAAAAGTTTCCTTGCAGGTTCCCACTACCCATGGAATACTGTTGCAGTCCCTCAGGGTAAACTTCATTTCCACATAAATTTTCTGCGCAGCATCACGGGAAATCCAGTTTGTTCGAAGCCAGTTGTTTTGGTTTGGTTCCATCACATTACATACCTGGTAGGTATGAATGGGATGATTGTGTTCATCCATTTCAGTAATGGCATCCCACTGAAAAGAAAACAGACTTGTTTGAAAATCAAGGAAAATATCTACAGAGCCAATCTAGACACACATAAATGTGAGTGTATGAAATCATGGCTGGATTAAAAATAATTGCTTGTGTAGAGATTAGAGAAATATCAGTAATTAAAAGCAGATACCAGCTACAGAAGAGTAGAAAAATTTTCAGAAGTTCTACAGTAAATTTCTATGAATTAAAAAAAAGTCTCTAATCAATGCGGCTTCAATAGAAGACAGAAATAGTGGCCATAGTTCTGAATAGAACATCTGAGATTATTCCTAGGCATGCAGTTCAGTCGCTTATACTGAAACATTTGCTAGAACACTCCCATTTGACATTCTGGTGAACTGCTGTCCAACAGTCCTCAAAAATATTCCCATTACTCAGATGGGCACCACAGACAAAGTACCTGCAGTGATCAACAGCTGGGACAAAGCCACTCTGGTTTGGAGAGTCTCAGGTACGTGTATAAGCTGTCCTGGTTTACACAATCATTGCAGACACAGTTAAATGTACAGATAAGAGATATTTCTGGCTCCATAGACTCTGTATTACACTCATTTCTTCTTAAACAAAAAAATAAAGATCTATCACAGGCATCATATCATTTATTTACCCTTATAAATTCTCTTTCTTATAAACTGAAGATGAAATAAGAATTATTATTTTTATTTATTTAAGTTGTGTGCATCAATATCACTAAATTGTTCTCAAATGCTGGTGGGAACCCACGCCATGAGGCTACTGAAAACATGCATCTACGAAAAGCCATCCATGTACTAAATATAAAAGAATTATTGAACATCTAACATTATATAATCTGCTACTCTAAGGGATTGCCAACAACTCCAAATTAGTTTCAATAAAATTGAGTCAGCTTTCAATAAACACTCACAATATCAATATAGCATTACGTATTGATTTCTTTCTTACAAAAACACAGAACTAGCTGTAGTTTCGTACCCAAAAATATTGCACCCCACCAGAAATTTTTAGTGTGGCTGTCTGGATATACTGTTCTCTTATGGCATTCTAGATATTACCTGATACAGTCAATAAGCCAAAAGCTTGTTATTAAATATTACTAAAAATGCCAAACTATGATGTTTTAATACAATGAAACATGAAAATACACATTATTTGTGTTCATAGTTAAGCATATTTGGAACAGATTATTTATAAATACAAATTTAGTTAAAATAATCTGCCTGCTAAAAAGAAACATGAGGTTAAAATTGAGACAGCAGTTCAAAGCTGAAAAGTTTATGCAGCATTTTTGCTCTTACCAACTTCCTCATCTTTGCAGTTAGTTTGCTTAAATGCAGAGTATGGCATTTAAAAATGTTATATTAATTAAATTCAGGTGTACATATGTAATATGTCAAAGCCCATGTTCAAATTATGCATAATATGCAATTCTGAGTACAATAGCAAGATAAGGACCTTCCACATTATTATTCAAACATGAATTCAAATATCTTTAGCCCGATGATACTTTCAAGCCACAAAGTTTTCTGCTTTAATACAGACAATATGAGTATGTTTTACTTCAAAGGTAGACTTCTGATGATACATTTTGACTACTTAAGCAGTACAATTTTCATAATATCTAGTTCACTCAACATTACAAGGAAGGTTGGTCCTTGGACTTTCAGACTGAAAAAAAAAGTAGGAAATATGAGTTCAGTGTAAAATTTTTAAGAAAAAAAAAATTAAAGTTATCTTTTAGAAACATGGTGAAAAAAATACTTGATCATCTTATTCTCTGAAAAGGCAATGTATTATTAAGAGGTAAGTTCTTCATTTTTAGAAATATCCCCAGCCATCAGATGAATTTTAAGGCCCATGTGAAACAGTAAATACGTAGAAAGCCTGCTGGCTTTATTTTCTGAGTTTCAAAAACATCACTTGTTCCTATATGCAAGTGCGGGTATAACATCCCCATCTTCAATATCTTTCACAGAAACAAAGCATGCATGTGGGTGGAGAATTTACACCTTCTTTTGCATGAGCAAACTGATCCATCATGGTGGAGGTAGCAATAAAGTTATTTTTAACTATTTTCATTAGACTGAAAACTTGGCAGCCAGAATTCAAGTGGAAATGGAATCTTAAATGGAGCCAGATATGGCCTGAAAAGTTAGATTTCTGATCACTGCAGCGTGTATTTGGGAACTACACAGAACAATAAGCTCTCTACAGAAGTCAAGGTCTTTACAGACTGTAACTTTTGAGATTTTCTTTTTCTTTACCTATCACGACACGAGTAATAGCCTCAAGGTCTTATTTTAAAACCCATGAAACATACTTTAAAAATGATTTCGGGACAGGTACTGGCCATTGGCTGTCTGCTACCTCTTAAGAGATTCTTGTATTGCTAGGCGTTATGACCTCTGTGAGTCTAACATACATTCATGAAGGACAAATTAGATCAGAATTCTTGCCAACATCAGATCAAATTCAGGTCTGGTCAAAATTGCACAGTAGGGGACTAGTTACCACAGTACTCATCTCTGAACCATTGCTTCTAAATTGGATTTTGAGATATGATCAAAAGATATCCTGGATCAAGTAATACATAATATACCAAGTAAATCTTGGCTTCAAGAAACAAAAAAAGGACTTGCATTGTCTGACAAGCCTGGCCTCTCCTCTTTTGCCAAGCACGTGGCACACAATTTGAACTAAGATTCCACAGCCAGAAAGAATTAATAGAAGTGTTTAATTAAAATACATACTCCACGCTTTAAAATCTTGACCGTAAAGATACTTTACTCCCAGCTGCCCTCCCCTGACGCAGCTCCATGCCGTTCCCTCGGCCCCTGTCTCTGTCACACAGAGCAGAGCTCAGCGCTGCCCCTCCGCTCCCTGCGAGGGGCTGTTGCCGCCATCAGGCCTCCCCTCAGCTCTGCTCTGCGCTGAACCAACCACGGACCACATCCGCTCCTCCCTCACCTTGCCCTCCAGACCCTGCCCCATCTTCGCAGCCCTCCTTTGGACACTTGCCTTTCTTAAAAACCGTGACAACCTTTGCCAGCTACCAGACTAAGCAGATTCTCACTTCAGCAGCAGCCCTGTTTGTGCCTGAAGGATCCACTATGGTGTTTTATTTTTATATGCAACCCCGCAGTAAGAAGTTTTTCCAGTTAATAGGGGTAGTTACATCAACATTATTTTATAATGGGCTGATATTCAGATAAACTCACATGTAGTGGAAAAGGCTTTTCCTGCAAGTTCTCACATAGATTGGTGAATTAACAGTGGGTTCTTAATTTCAGCCACCAATCCCAGCAGTAGCTATGTAATCTAGGACAGCAGTTTTAGCATCTTGCACAACACAACGTTCTTTTTATTGATATTTTACTTCATTCAAAGAAAAAAGATACTTGGCAGCAGCTACTTAGGTCCAAGCCCTTAATCAGCAGGGTAATTAATAGAAGAGAACCCTTTTAGTCAAAGGATAGCTCTAGAAGAAAAAAAAAAAAAAAAAGGAAAGAAAGAAACGCTACTTATGTGTCTCAGTCAAAGGCAAGTCCTCAAAGGTCATAAATCTTATCACTTATCTCACAAGAGAAGTAAGTTTTCCTTTTTAAAAATCAAGGAACAAAATATGAAGTGATCATGCTAAAAATATCTCTTTAATCATTTCAGAGAGACAGATAATTCAGGAAATGTAACTGTCAATTAATTCTTACACAAAAATGGAGGCTGGCATTTGAAAAATCACTGAATCTGAACTAAGTGATAGGATCTTCTGACATACATCCCTCATGACTCACAGATGCCCGTTTGGAACAGGTCAGAACCCTAATAATAAACTATGGTTGTTATACAAGACTGTTGCTATCCAAAGCAAATTACATGTACAGGAAATTCCTGTAGCAAAGGGCAGTTAAGTAACAGAGTAGTGGATCCAAAGAGAAGGAAAAAAAGAAAGCAAATGGCAATTTTCATTAATTTTGATTGGTCCTTCTCTCATTATTATTTTTATGAAAGACTTTATTACTTGTTTGGGGTATCAGTCTTTTCCCTCTGGGACTCTGCTGAAATCTACAATTCTCAATTTCAAATGTTACCTGCTGAAAATCTTTTTGATCTTATTTCCATGGAAACAAGTGGAAACAAGTTGAATTGTAAAAAAAAAAAAAAAAAAAAAAAAAAAAAACAACACCTTTTTAAACTCTTTATTTTTAAATTCTCTTACTCTATCTCCAGAGAGATGATCTCCATAGAAATGGGATCAAAGAGGTCTAAGCTAGAAAGCAATAGACAAGAACCTGCACTTGGCATGCAGTTTCTCACTGCCATCTACAAATGCAGATTTAAACTTCTAGCTGCTCTAGTGACATTCAGATAGAAACAGCTATACTAGATAACAGATTTGGTCAATGAAAATGAACATTCTGAAGCATAGTTGACTATTAAAACATGACAGTGAAAACTAGAAAGTTACTGTAAATTCGTTAATATTTTTCCCAGCTCCGACTCATTTTTCTTCACCTGAATCTTTTTTTCATGTGAGATCTACAAATCCTTCAGTAGGCAGACCACTAAATTACTTGTTACAATAGGAATTACAGTCTGCAGGGCTTTCAAGCTCTCAAAAGAATTGTTATTCTGCAGCTATGTGTGAAAAAACATACCTCCAAAGGCCATTAAGACAAGTGACAATTTCTGAAATGTAACCATTAAATATATATATTTTTTAAAACGCAAACAAAACCTGATGGTTATCCATGTACTTCCCACCAAATACAAGTTTGCATAACTAGCAAAAGAGAGCAATGGTTTAACTAGTTTTAATTTTACATTTAAATCATGCTGATCTGAAGTTGCTTATGGAATGCAAAAAATACATAACATGCATTAGATTAACTCTGCAGAACAATGACTGTAACTCAGATTTAGGGGAAAAACTTTAAATCTGTTTTCTACATGGGCAGTAGCACCTAGGCATTGACTATGACTGAGCCAGTGGCAAA